TTAAGCTTTAATGTGAATTTGTAGTTTTTGTTCAAATGGAATTTGTAGTTTTCTTTTTAATTAATTGATGAATGTTTGATAATCTATTTCATGGGTTCAATCATGTTTTTCCCATTGTGTAGTAAAAACTTTCATGCTTTTAAAAGAGAAGAGAATTACTAAAGATTAATAGAATTTTGATGAAGATTATTTTTTGATAGTTTGTTGCCAATGGTACAAGTTATGCTTAGAATACTTCTAAAGGAAATTAAAAAGGGCTTTAATTATTTTGAACAACTACAAAGGAAAATATTTTGTGGATCAAATTATTAAGAGTTGCATGCTTATGTTAAAAGTGGAAACCCAATGCCTTAGTGTTTTAATCAATTGAATTTTCTTGAAATCAAATCTTGCATAAATCTACTTTTCAATCATAATTGTTCTTTTCAGCTCTGCTATCTTTACACCGCTCTCTGTGGATACGACACTCGGACTTCCGAGCTACACTGCTATACGACACCTCCCTTGGGTTTTGCAAAGTGGTGCGAACAGTTAATACAAACATTAAGAATTGAAATTATTAATTAAATGAGGATAATATGGTAAATTCACACTTTTTCATATTTTAAAAAATTAAAATTAAAAGAAAAATCGGATAATGAATCCTATTTTTATGGAAAACAACTACCCATTATTTTTTTTAATTCTAAAATAAAATTTAATTTTTTTAAAAAAAAGCCTCTTGCAGGCGCAGAAATGCGTGTGGAGAGGCTAGTAACTTATTAAAGTTAGAAAAAAGACTAAATATTTATGAATTTAGTTGCAAGGTAGCAATAAAAATAAAATAAGTACACTTTCAATTTTGTTGTTGAACATATTTCATTTCGATAATATGTGTTTTTCAGTTGCATTTAATATGTATTTGTTTTATGTTATTTTTATTTTTGGTCTAGTTTATGTTAAAATTGATTGAAATTTAGTCAATAAAGCTATGAACTAACATGGTTTATATGATTTAATGTATACGTCTATTTCCAAAAAAAAGTACAGAAATTGTAAGTACATAACAAATTATTATTAGATTTTAAGCTAATAACTTTAGTTAACTCACGTGTTAAAAAGTTTCTTTTTATGCAACAACATTTGACATGGACTACGAGACCACCCTAAAGTCACATTATGAATCTAATCATTAGGTGACTCATGACTACTGCACGAAGAAAAAGTGCGAGAATCGAATTTATCCCAAGGGGGGCACCCACACATGCGCTTAATTAGTAAGTTAGGTTTATCATATCAAGTGAAATATTAGGTTAATAAGTTAGTTTTATCATATCTAGTAAAATAAATGTGAGTGGTGTGTTTGGGTCTTGTTATCTCTAGTATTACCCAGGGTCTGAATATGTAGCAATGACCAAAGTGATTTTATTTCCGTATAATTCAGAAGCAGAATGGCCAAGGCCTTTACCTTGATGATTTGAAAATGAAAGATAGCTAGCCTATATAATAATAAGAGGATTTCACTAATAACCCAAAATAATTAAATAAGTATATTGCAGTTTTCGTGGGAATCACGGGAAAGTGAAAATTGAAATTGGTTGTGAAGAAGATAGTTGGCCTAAGAAAGAGAAAAGCTGCCCTTTATATTATACACAAATTATTCTACTCCCAAAAGAATTGAATGTAGTATTTGACTGAAACAAAGTGGCTGCCCTTTTTTTCAGATATGGATTCCTAATTTTTCTCGTAGTTATTTTTTATAAATATTTTATACTAATAAAAAAAAGATAGTTTTTATTCTGATTTTAAAAAAAATGGTTTTTCTTTTTATCTATGTATATAAAGCAAAAGACACCGAATGGTAAAACATTCAAAATACCAGAAAATGTCCTTAGTTAATGCAAGCATTAAGAATTGAAATTATTAATTAAATGAGGATAATATTGTAAATTCACACTTTTCATATTACAAAAACTTAAAAGAAAAAGAAAAATCAGATAATGGATCATATTTTTATGGAACACAACTACCCATTCTCTTTTTTAATTCTAAAATAAAATAAATTTTTTTTTTTAAAACAAAAACCTCTCGCAAGTGCGGAAGCGCGTGCGGAGAGCTAGTGATAAATAAAGAAAGATGTTGAAAAAAATAATCCGATGAAAAGGTAGTTTAAAAAAAAAAATAATTCTAGTCCAGTCCCAAAAAAGTGTGGGGAGACTTTGGAAAAGGCCAAAGGAGAGAGAATTTTTTTAAAAGAAGCCAAAATGGACAAAATTGCCCTTATTTATTTTTGGATTTCCTAAGGAATCCTTTACATTTGCATGTCTTTGGTGTGAAAGTTGAGAGGTTTTTCTGTCATTTTCGAAAAAGCTTTGGCTTTTTCCAAAAGTGAAATTTTTTTTGTGGCTAAAACCTAAATTTCCTAAAAGAGCGTGTCATCAAACAATGGCTATGATTCAAAGTCTGATCCAGTCTTAACCAGTCCAGTTCAAAATATGAAATCCGAATCCAATCCAGTCTTGTACTAGCCAGCTCACCAAACAGGGTTTATGCGTAAGTTATAGAGAATGGGTTGTTATACCTCTCCAACGGAACCCTCTCCCACTTGTTCCGTTGGAGTAGGAAAAGGAACTGCGAAGCACAAGTGTTCCGCTGGTAATCAGAGCAATCTTCTATGCTTTTCCTTTGCTGCCCATCTTTGTATCGCCCTATATTACAAATCGTGTTTAACATTAGTCCTGTTTATGTCTAAGTTATAGAGATTGGGTTGTTAGATCTGCATGTTGTTTATGACGATTAGGGTTCTTCTTTCTTTTATGATATGATTCTCTACGATACGAGTGTGGCCCTTAATTACTTGTCTTTTAAATACCTCTCTCACTTGTTTACCATTGTTGTCTAGCTTGCACATGGAGGGGGAAGGCTCGATGTTGGTAAAGCAGGAGAGCACTTATAAATCTGTGTTCATATTGGCGCGTAACGCGAGAAGAAACTATCAAGGACATTTATTTGAGGTGAAAATAGGGCAAGGATCAGGAGATATTATGGGGGCAAGAGAAGGAATACCAGTAGATGCTCAAGATCGACCCCCAGTGCTTCATCCTGTAACCAAGTTCTTTGATGATGAGAAGAGTCATACGGTTTTCCCTTACAATAGTTCTTTGGTGGCTGTGACATTCAACAGCCCCTCCAAGTTATATATGATGGTAACTGCTCCTGAACCCAAGCCTTACCTTATTAGGTCCACGAAAGTAAAGCCAAAGGCACGTGTTTTCGACACAGAGACCAAGTCATTCTATAAATTTAAACGCCCCAAATCATTTGGGGAGAGGGCAAATTTGATCCCTGCGTATGGGAAGCTTTATCATCTTGGAAGGTGCGGACTTAAAGAAGTACCAGCGTTTGAGCAGTATGATCCCTGCAATGATTGTTGGGAGCCCCTGCCACCTGTTCCTGCTGAACTCTTTCGGGGCTTAGGGATGTTAACTGGTTATGCCGTTTACGGCGATAATATTTTGGTTTCATTTATGCCCATCAGTTCAAAGCCCTACAAAAATACAGGTTTTGCTTTTCATGTAATTGAAAAGAAATGGCATCCTGTGTCGGGTGCCGTCCATATTCGGGGGAGGGCTGTGGTTGTAGGTGATAGCATCTATGCCTTAACCACCTCATTCGCGATGGTTAAGCTCTCCTTTGATTCTAGTACTTATTCTATAAGCAGAAAGCAGTTTCTAAGGGGTTTGGAAAGCGTGAGACGTTATGCTATGGGAGAACGTTTTGATAGGTACTCAGAGTATATGGTTCATTTGGGGAACTTGGAATTTTGTCGTGTCTGCACTGCCTTCGATCACTGTGGTGGTGGTCGTCAACCTATTTGGATCACCACCTTCCAAATTGTGGACACTCAAGGTGGAAACCATATCAAGACCTTGCATTCAGCTGTTTTTGATGTGGACCTGACCAATTACTACATCTATTATAGCTTCAATCCGTACGTTCCTTTTCCTTCTCATCCTTCACGTTTCTCTTTAATTTATTGTTCTCCCTATAAATTCAATATACTTAGTTGCTTCTATGATTTTTGATATTATTTTATGGCTCAGAGATTGCGAGGATAACGAACCCAAAGGAGAAGAAACTAAGGTGAAATTAATACATGAATGAATCAGATTCTACAAGTGTATGAGTTTTATATAGTTTCTGATAATACTAAGTTGGGGTTCACTTCACAGGGACCACAGGAAAAGAGATGCAAGCGGAAAAAGAGATGCAAGCGGAAAAGAGACTGCATAGAGTAGAGAGTTTAGAGTTTAATCACCAGCTGCTTAATTAGTTTCTCTCATCATTGATCATTCTGTCTTGGATCAAATAACTTGTAATCAGTACATTTATTTATGTGCTTGCTTTTGAGATATTGGTGATGTATTCACTGTTAGTGTCATCAGCTTTCAAATTGTTTTCCCCTTGTTCAGTTCAGTCTCTTCGTGTGGGTTGGTTTTACAGAGTGAGACTTGAATAAAGTTAAATTTGAAAAAACTTCTCGACTGCTACAAGAAATGATGATACATTCCTCTCTTATATGACAATTTTAATTGAAATATAAACTATGATTTTTAAATTATAATTAACTATAAAACCTTATTCTGAATGGTGTTACAGCATGATCAAAGTAAAAACAATCTTCATTCATGTACTTGAAAGTGTTATTCAATATCAATACATTCATCAAACAAAACCAATAATTATAGACACTACAAAAAAAAAAGTGGCAACAGTAATGGTGACTGTTGCAACTTTTTTTTTTTTCCCCTCTTGTGGTGAGAATCTCTCAAGTAAAAGTCAAGCACCGAAACTAATGAAGTTTAAAATTGTATGGTAGTGAAAGAATCATTATTATCTTGGACTTGGCCTAACTCTTCACCCGACCTGTAAAAAAGTTACAAAACCATCAATAAAAGGAATGAAAAAAATCTATCTTAATTTTCAGATCTGGTTTCCCTAATTTGGGTTCCAGAATTTGCATTTCTTCTTTTCATGTTTTTATAGAATTATTTTTTTTCAGATATGGAGTCATGATTTTTCTTGTAATTATCTTTTTATAAATATTGTACAATAATTTAAAAAGGGAGCTGATTTTCCCATTCCATTTTTCTCCACTTACACTCCCTTTTTCTTTTTAATACTTTTTAATCAATTTTGTTCTTTCTCTTTCCTATTCTATCTTTACCCTATATTAATTTTTTTTACTTCACTTTTATATTATTTATTTTTCTTTATACTTAATTTTCCAACTTGCACTCTAATGTAGGGTAGAATAGGAAATAGAAAGAACAAAATTGTTTAAAAAGTATTAAAAAGTAAAATGGAGTGATGGGAGTGGGTAAATCAAATCCCTTAAAAAAAAAGATTGTTTTATTATGATAGAAAAAATGGTTTTTCTTTTTACAAATTTATAAATAAACCCAGTCCTAGACATGTATTTATAAAAAAACCCAAACACTATTTAAACATAGAAACACACCCAAAAGCAACTCCAAAATCAACAATTGTATATTTTTTGGGTGTGTTTATAAATGGGTTTTGAGTGTGTGTAATGATGGATTTTGGGTGTGTTTATAAAGTGTTTTGGGTGTTGGGTTTTTTTTATAATTTCAGCCCCCATTTTGGGTGTTTTAGTGAAACTCCCTTTTCTTTTTATGATAAAAAAGATGATCTTTATATGATAAATAAAGAAAGATGTTGAAAGAATTAGGGTTATGATTTTTCCACTCCTCTTTTGTTTTTTTAATACTTGTTACTATAACAAAAAAAAAAGTGTAAGTAGACAAAAAGGAGTCAGAAAATAAGTTTCCAAAAATTAATATGATAAAAGGTAGTTAAAACAATCCAATCCCAAAAAGTGTGTCATCAAACAATGGCTAGAATTGAAAGTCTGTTCGAGTCTCAACTAGTTCAGTTCAAAATATGAAATCCAATCCAATCTTGTTCTAACCGGCTCACCAAACAAGGCCTTATCACACAAAACAATCAAATTATCATGCAAGACAAACAAGAAAAATAAATTAAAATGACAAAACCATATAGATAAATGCAATAGTTTCAATGAGAAAACGTACCACAAGAAGATTTGAATTTTGAATTTTACGAGAAAATCAGAGGTTACTAGTCTTGAATGAAATGTAATATATGACTGAAACAAAGTTGCCCTTTATGCTATACACAAATTGTTCTACTCGAAAAAGAATTAGTAGTCCAAGACTTGCAAGGGTTAGGAAATTATGTCACCACCTGGCACCTGCTCGATAGAATGCCCCAACGAACCTCCGCAGTCTGCTGCCTGTTTTTCCTTTTTTTTTGTTAAATTTTTTTTTTATAGCCTAGGAAAGAGGACGTCGTTTCGGCCCAGTGTTTTCCATTTCCCCAGCCTGACATCCCAAAAAACCCCAGAATTTCTAATTTTCTGTCTAATTGCTCCTCAAGTCCTAAGCCCAAGGTCCCCAACCCCAACCTGCGGCCGTCGTCCGGAAGCTGCTGTGCATCCGCCACTTTTATCAAATCTCTCCAGACAAGTGAGTTTTAAACCCTAATTCCCAATTGATGGTGATGTATGATGTTTTTAATTTAATTGAAATTGAAATTTATGGTTACTCTCTTTATATATCACGCATATTCATTATGTATTTTATAATTGCACGAAAAAAAAGAAGAAGATATACAGGAATGAGGGTGGATTGTTTGAGAGAAGAAAATTGTGGATCATATTTTAGTTTTCGACAGACCAAAAGGAGCTACAACGCTAGAGAGAGATGTGGAGGCGCGTAGCTTCAGTTTCTCATCTGTTTTCTCACTCGAAATCCACCAAATTTAACCAGGTATACATTTGCACATTCGATAAGCTTGTATTCAATCAACAATTAGGATTTGTTTCCAGATAGAGTGATAATTGATTATTGACCGCAGGGAGGAAGCACATTCAAGATTTGGGAAACATTTACCTCAGAATCAGAGATACCAACTCCGGTACGGATGAATTCCATTATTATGAGTCATGGGTTGGGGTTTGAAACAGTTTTGGAGACTATATTTATACACAAATTATGAATTGTTTAATGAGATCTTAATCTATCAAAAAGAGATGCCATTTTAATTAATCATATTGACTAAATCATGTTGTTTGGAACTTTGGATGCAGTCGAAAGGTTCTCCGTTCATAACTTTTGTTTTAGGTAAGGTTATGGCATTGTTTATATGTGTTATGTTGCTTTGAAAAGAGCCAAAGAGCTTGTAACATGTTGGTGCTCTCAATCTCAGGTGGCCCTGGCAGTGGAAAAGGTACTCAGTGTGCAAAGATAGTTGAGGCGTTTGGGTTCACTCATATAAGTGCAGGAGATTTGTTGAGGAGGGAAATAGCTTCCGGTAGCGCATATGGGTAATAATTGTTCATTATTGTTGTTCATGGTAGTTTCTGTATGTCTTTTGTGGTCTTCTTCATTTCCTTGATTTTTGCAACTTCAATTTCAGCTCTGTGATTCTTAGTACAATTAGAGAAGGAAAAATTGTACCCTCTCAAGTGACAGTCCAACTCATTCAAAAGGAGATGGAATCAAGTGACAATTATAAGTTTCTGATTGATGGGTTCCCTCGAAGTGAGGAGAACCGCAAGGCATTTGAACAAACTGTGAGTTTCCTTCTATTCAACTCTGTTTAATCTTTCAGAAAATTCAAGTCTTGTTAGACCTGGCTGCAAGGATCAACTCAGTTTATAGAAAACTCATAAAATAAATAAGTTTATGAAAGAAAACTAAAGATATCATATCACGAATCCAACTGTGACATCTATAGTAGTATTTCATTTTCAACCAAATTATTCCTCATCTCTGGCTTCACCAAACTGTTGCAGATTGGCACTGAACCAGATGTTGTGCTTTTCTTTGACTGTCCTGAACAAGAGATGGTGAAGCGAGTACTAAATCGTAATCAGGTGCTTATGTATTATAATTTTCTGTAGGGTTGAAATATGTGAACATATTTATCTGAAATTTGATGTTTTATTGCAGGGCCGAGTAGATGATAATATTGACACAATCAAGAAACGCCTTGAAATATTCGATGAATTAAATTGGCCTGTTATCAATTACTACTCACAGAGGGGAAAACTTCACAAGGTAAATGGCACATTCAAGGTTTGAGTGGATCCTGTGTTTAAGTTAGTAGCACTCGATACCTTAGAGTTTCTCATGTTTTTATATGAAGTTTTCTTTGCTGAAAAGCTGATCTCTGTTATTCCCCTTTCATCTTTTTGTTTCAGACATGTATACTTAATTGTTAGTGTTTTTTTTTTTTTCAATTCTTGGTGAGCTTATTGCCTTCCATTTTCTTTTGGTCTTACTTATAAATTGTCTGAACAATAAATTGGCAAGTTTATTTGTGCAGATCAATGCAGTGGGAACAGTCGATGAAATATTTGAAAAAGTTCGTCCAATTTTTGCTCCATTGAGGTATATTCTGTTATTCTGTATATCCAGTTTGCAGCATTTGTTGTCATTGATAATCCTGGTTCTCTTCTTTATAGCACAAACTTTTATATGAAATGAAAACGCAGAGAACAGCCTAAAAGAATATGATTTTAAGCCACAAGTTAATGTGTGCCCATGCTTAAGGCCAATGAGGCAATAACTTGTTTTTCTTTCTGCAGCAAATGAACGTTTGAGTGAAAAATCGCAGAGCATGTAAGATCATCTGGTTTTCAATTAAAGTACTCTGTCTTCTCTCTTTGGCAAAGATCACTGCGAAGAGTGGAAGTTTGTACCGAAAGAAGCATCGTGAAGTCTAAAGCAATAAATTATCAGATGGGTTAATTTTTTTTTTCTACCCTGATTATTGCACTTGACGATGCATGTACCCAGCTTAAGCTGGAAGGAAAACTACGCAGCATAACTGGTTCGTTTCAATATAGAATAGTTTGAATTTATGTTAATATTTTGTGGCATCCACAGAAAAGGAAAAAAGAAATTTATCATTTCTTTATATTGAATTCAAGATTTACAATTGGGCTTTTTTGGTTACGTTTGGGCCTTCGTCTACACAGTTTCTCCTCGTATGAACTTTGTTCTTTCGGCCCCTTCACATTACTTTCCCATAGGGGACTTGAATTAGGCCAAATTGAAACCAAACTGTTGCAACAAGAACCCAATTTTTTTTATGGATTAAAACCCAAACCCAAGTTTTAAAATCTTCTGATCAAGAACTGATGAAGAACTTAACTAGCTACAAAATGCTTCCTTTCAATATTTCTAGTCAACTTCAAGAGGACCATGAT